AAATTAAACTTTGCACCCTAGCGGAAGGGGGTGATAATGGGGCAAATAGGTTTTAATCATAACTACCCCGATAATAATAATATACTTTGCGTAATGTTGTATATGATACACTTCAACCTACCTTGCCAACGCAGCGTTAAGAAAAAATTAAAGGTGTAAAAATTTCGGGTTCGGAGAAAACAGTTTTGTAAAATGAGGAAAGTGTGGCAGACTTTGAACTAAATACACGATTGATTTTGCGCTCTGGTGCAACATAATAATATGGTAATTCGATTTTTACTCTTTTTACCACTGCACTTTATACGTTACTTCCAATCATTTTCCTAATAATTGGAAGTAACTAGAAACTACGGACTGAGTTATTTTTTGTAGAATTTTTAAAAGAACACCACGACAACCTTCATTTAGCACCATTCCTGTCAGGTACGGAACAGCGTTAAATATGGGGTACTAACATTAAAGTCCCAATATGTTGAAAATTACGGTTGGTATGGTACAGTAGCTGGGCAACTGGCTGCCGTGCATCGTGTCGCGAGTTCGATTCCCGCACGGAGCAATTCTTTGTGTGATCCAGAAATTGTTGTTCCGGGTCTGGGTGTCATGTGTATGTGAACTTGTATGTTTGTAACCTAGAGTGGGGCAACGTTTTTTTTTTTTTAAGTAATGTTACAAATAGTAAAGACGTTGAGATTCGAACCTGCACCTCATAAATTTGCAGTCAGTCGTTTTGTGTTTGATGATATTGACATGTCATTTCTTTTACTTTCTTGCCTCGGCGTCGCTTCTTGCCCCGTCCCTAAGTTGGCCACGCGAACTGCTCAATGCACAGTATGCATTGAAGTTAATGAGGCTGCAACAACGGACGCGCGGGGACTAAAGTTAGCGGCGACCAACCTCGACGCTTGGTCGGGGTTCAGACACGCGAAGTGCATGCATTTGCGTTATCTATGTAGATCTATGTCTGCGATATTAACATTTAACTATAAGATATAAAAAGTTTTTATAATGTTTTAAGTTTATTACTTATTCTTATATCTTTAGCTTTTTGCCTTTCTTTAATTTATTTTTTATGCACGCTTGTTAGGACATGGAACAAGGCGCTGGCAAAAGTCGTGGTCGTGGTCCTCGTGCTGGACGTGTTGGTGGTGGCCGGAGTTTTCGTGCAAGTGGTGGTGGTACCCGTGATCGTGGGCGCGGCGTCTGTGCTCGTGCGCATGAGCTTAACACGTTAGCTATTTTTAGTCACTGACACAAAACATTTCAATATTATAATAAACAATACATTGTTATATAATATATTTTATATAATAAACTATAAAATATTATTATTTTTAGTGTTACCAAGTCCAAGGCACGTCCTGCTGTTGCCGGATCATCGATATCGTATGTAAAGTTTTAATTAAAAAAAATCAAGTTTTACGTATTATCTATATTAAAAGGTGTTCTTTTTCTTTTATTTCAGTATTGCTGACAAAGTAAGAATAAATATGAGCCGACGGACGCAGGAGCAGCGGGCACAGCTGCAGCAACAGAGGGAAAAAAAAGAAGTATCCCACTTTTTAATGCCCGACGCTCCTCCTGTCAAAAAATCCAGGTGAGCAAATTCATTACAAAACATTTTTTCGTCTTTCAATAATTTTAAATATTGTTAATATATTTTAGAAAAGGGTCTCCAGTGAGAATGCCTTGTCCCCTTCTTCCGGGGACTCCAGAAGTCCCACCTCCACGTATTCTCCAACCATGGGAGCTGAACCTAAGAGGTGTGTAAATTCCTTCTTACTACACTACACTTACTTTTAGATTTTGCTTGATTTGACTCAATAAAAACTTATTTTAATTTTTAGCCTCTTTAATGGACAAAAGCGGGCCTATTAGAGTGTTGGACTTTGATGAGGTGGTCTCCAATGACAACGCAACACCAGAGTAAGTTTTAATGAAATTTCAACTTATGATGATTTTATTATTTTAAAAGTATAAACGAATTGGTACTAATTCTTATGTTTTTTCACAGGACATCTCAACTAGCAATCACTCCCTCTACGGAAGTAGTTATTGATACGGCTGAGTGCTGTGCGTCCCAAAATGTGTCTCCAACACCATCTTCCTCTACTGGTGCAGGTGAGTTATTTTATATTTAATCTAAGGTCAGTGATGCAAGTCTAGTAGTATTCAGAAATTTGAGACATTGCTTGCTCTCATATCTACTGTAATTAAGGTATGTATTATTTTGTTTTAGAGCCTTCTGACATTGTGGAAGAATACATTTTGGTGTGGGAACAGTCAGCGGGACTGAATCCCGGTAGTGATGTCGAGGAGGAAACCCTTATCGATAGCGAAACCACTCGCGTGAGAGACGCCAATGACGCCGGGGAAGTATTATGTAGCAAACTCAGCGAGGCTCTGGAGAATTTGGACAGGCAGGATGACAATGCGTTGAGGGAGATAGCAAACGAGGACATGCTGGAATTCGATTGGTCGCATGACCATAAAATTTTTACGGGGCAGCGAGAAAATTTTACTGGGATAGCTGGGCCTACATTTACAGTTGATGGAATGACACCGTTCCAAATTTTTTCGAAAATTTGGGACGATGACATCATAAACGTAATAGTCCGGGAAACGAATAGGTACGGCGCAATGCTCTGCAGCGCGAAAGACCTTCAGACATTTTCAAGATTAAGGAGGTGGACGCCCATAACGTCCCAGGAGTTGTGGACGTACTTTGGAATTCTGATGCTGCAGAGCATTACGCAGCTTCCTGTGGAGAGTGAGTACTGGAGACCATGTTTGCCTTATTTAAAATTGGGAAACTTTGCTAACATTATGTCATTCCATAGATTTATAGCAATCAAAAGGTGTCTTCATTTCACGGACAATATCCAGGCCAGGGATATCCCAAATAAACTCACAAAAATTAAGCCCATTATTGACCATCTCAATAAAAAATTTAGCTCCTTATACCTACCTGAGCAGGAAATTGCTATCGATGAATCATTATTGTTGTGGAAAGGCCGGCTGTCTTTTGCTCAATTGATAGCCAATAAAGCTACTCAAGTAGGAATAAAGAGCTATGAGCTATGCGAGTCCAGGACGGGATACCTCTGGCAAATGATGGTATACACCGGGAAGGGAACTCACAATGTCGGCCACGACTCGCAGGAGGAGCCGCAAGACACGGCTACCTCCAAAATTGTCCATCACTTGGTGCGGCCTTTATTAAATAAAGGCCACACCTTAGTAATGGACAATTTTTACAATAGTCCCCTTTTGGCGCGTACACTTAAAGCGAATAAAACGGACGTCATGGGTACGCTGCGTCTGAACCGACAATTCGTGCCCGAAAGTTTGCGGTGGAAAAATAAGTCAAACATGCGCACGGGAGAAGTGGCTTTCAGCCAAACTAAGGACATCACGATTGTGGTATGGAATGATTCCAACGTGGTGTCAATGATATCCACGTATCATAAAGCAGAAGTTGGCGGAAAAGAAAAATACGGGTACTACAAGTATAAGCCCCAAGTAGTTTTGGACTATAACCTTTCTATGGGGGGCATTGACAAAAAAGATCAAATGATACAAGCGTTCCCCATTGAAAGAATCCGAAACCATGTCTGGTATAAAAAGCTTTTCCGTCGACTTCTGAATGTATCGATCCATAACAGTTTCGTGATGTTCTCGAGTGTAGTGCCAGGAATAAGGCAGCGGGCGTTTCGTGTACGGTTAGCGGACGAAATTTTGCAAAAATTTTCTCCGCCAAAAATACAGGCACCCCCTGCTACCGGCCACTTCCCTGCTAGGAACGCCTCCAAAAGATCACGCTGCAAGTGGTGCGCACTAAAAAAAAAAGATACATGCACAGTCTGGAAGTGCGACACTTGCAACGTAAATCTCTGTGTACAGGGGTGTTTTAGGGACTATCACATAGCTATGTAGTTCCAGCTACCTTAATTATCCAAAGAATACACTAAGTAAAGGTTGAATTAAATGAACAAGATTTATTATCATAGTACATAAAATAGTTATTAAAAATATTACGAGGACAATGAAACTTATGTATTTTTGTAATCAGGGGAAGATGTCACGGAAATTTCCATTTTTCTTGTATGTGGGAAATAATGTGGGGGAAATGAGTATGAGTCCTCCTAAGTGTAAGAAACCCTTTTTTGAAAACTGTGTTTAAATCACTTTCGCCAATGGCGGTTAGGAAGAACTTCTTTCTTCGTTACTTATTGTGTCAGTTTTCCTACAACAATTTTCTTGTCGCTCACTTCTGACTTACAGCAGTCCAAAAAAAAATATATGCCAATTTTGTACAACAGGTGTAAAAACTACCTCGTTAAGCTCCCAATAACCATTTTGGTACTTTTTGTAGCCGAGGGCTCAACCCCCGAATTAATTTCCACCCCTAAAGTTAGTTTGGACCAAAATATTTCATTCAAAAATTTTTTACTTTTTTCATACTGGTGATTCTGTAAAGGTATAATAAAATAATGACACATTCTCATTACAAATATACGAAAACAAGCTGTGATTTTCACAAATATGTTACTAACATAATTTTATCAAGTAATAACCTAACATCATGCCTTTTATAGCCAGAGGGGTAGGCAGAGCTCCATAAATTTAGTCTTATTAATAAGCAAGTTAATGTTGTCAAATCAAGGTACAATTCTGTTTAAAGTATCCATCTATACTAATATTATAAAGAGGTAAAATTTGTAAGTTTGTATGCAAGGGGTAATCTCTGGAAGTAATAACCCAATTCTAAAAATTTTTTTCCAGCTGAAAGCTGCATTATTCCTGAGTGCTATAGGCTATAAATTGTTTCTATAACATGTATATTTACCGAGGTATCACAAGTTTTGCCTAGCAAGTCGGAAAAAAAATCCTCATAAAAAAGAATTATTTGCGTGCGCTGCCTATTTCACTCATGCTATTAATCCTTATCAAAATATTTTATTTCATCACTCAGTACAGTTTATGTAGATAATACTCGGTCTTTAAATGATTACAATTTGGATGTTTGGTTTTGAAGTTATGGGAAATTAAAATATTACGATTTTTTCTGTACGGCCCGTTTCGAAGTGAATACCTATTGCCAAGGCGGGAGGGGCGCAGGGATAAGGCCGGTATTATGTCTATTAAGCGTGCGCTACCTAAACAGTTGCTTAAAATTAAAAACTATGTAGGTCTCCTGCAGCTGTAGCCAAATGCCATTTAGCGCTTGTCTACATGTAGAGTAGAAAACCAAATTATATGGAATTGACGTAAATTTTGACAGTTGTCAGTGTCATCCCCATACATTTTGATTTCTACTCTCTCTGTAGACAAGCACTAAAGTGGCGTTTGGCTAAAGGCCCTGCAGTGCTAGCCAAATGCCATTTAGCGCTTGTCTACATGTAGAATAGAAAACCAAATTATATGGAATTGACGCAAATTTTGACACTTGTCAGTGTCATCCCCATACATTTTGATATCTACTCTCACTGTAGACAAGCGCTAAAGTGGCGTTTGGCTAGAGGCCCTGGTTCGTCTTAATTATTTCTACAAAAAGTCCGCGATACCATATCTCTATCTTTTCTATTTTAAAAAAACCAGTCATGACCCAAACCTAACAAAGATGATGACCCAATGGGACAAGTCCAAGGGACAAACATTCTCTTTGGTTGGCATTGACCTACGAAAAGAATGTTTCTCCCATGGGCAATTATATGTTGGTCTATCAAGAGTGGGATCATCCGAAAACCAGATAATTTTGTTACCAGAAAATAAAACAACCTCAAACATTGTTTATAGAGAAGCTTTAAATTAAATAGATAGCTACTTAAATCCTAATTAATATTTCCTAATCCTAACTAATATTATAAATGCGAAAGTAACTCTGTCTGTCTATCTGTGTGTTTGTCTTTCCTTCGCGCCTAAACTACTGAACCGATTTGGATGAAATTTTGGTATAGACAGTTTAGAACTCGAGAAAGGACATATAATGGTTTTTAACCCAAAAATCTCGAAAGAACTATTCCACGCGGACGAAGTCGCGGGCAGAAGCTAGTTTGTAAATACAATACGTAACACTGTTATAAAGAATTTGCTCTGTGTGTGTATGTTGTAGGATAATTTGATATTTCGAATCTTCGCGGAAATCCTAGGGGTTTTGCGAAAACGCGGATAATTAGACATAGGCGAAAAATTATCAAATCTTACTGGACAAAGTCAGGATTTTTGCGAAAATACTCGTTACTATAGTAAGATTTGATGTGCTCAACACTGATTGGCTACAATTTTGAAGGCTGGCTTCTAATTGGTTCCTAGTTTAGGTGAGAAAGAAAAATCACTAAATTGATTTTTATAAACCTTTTATTGAAAATTTTAGTATGTATGTTGTTTTCTACAGACAATAGGAGATCTCAGTCGTTGTAAAAAAAAAAAATGATCCAATTTTAGGGTGTAATCCATAAATTGGATGAAACTGGTCGTTTAAGACGACGAAAAAACATTTAAGACGTCAACCAATCAGAGACGATCTCTTATTGAACGCGCTGACCGACCAACCAGCGTTCTTATTTCATAACAGCCAGCGTTTCGTTTCGCAATCTTACTATAGTAACGAGTATTTTCGCAAAAATCCTGACTTTGTCCAGTAAGATTTGATAATTTTTCGCCTATGTCTAATTATCCGCGTTTTCGCAAAACCCCTAGGATTTCCGCGAAGATTCGAAATATCAAATTATCCTACGACATGTATACGGCCTTATAATAACGGTTTTCTGTGATAATCGTCCCACTTGTGTGTGATGTACCTAAATTTACGTGTTTCGTGTTTTGATGCTGATGAAATATAAAGTGTGACATATCGTTATAAAGATAATTTATTGTACTAAATAAATAACTACTTATACGTAACATAACTGGTTTATTTAATGTTTACTTCCAACAAAAGTTAAAAGAACGCAGCGCGCGTTAGGCGTACATAATAGTTCGCTGCAGCGCTGCAGCAATCAAAGTAATGTTTTTTTTTGTATGAGTACTTATATTATAATATAGTTGTTGATTTCAATTTTATGTCTTAGTTAAAATATAAAAATGATTTTAGACAATAAGAATATTGTTACTTATGTGAAAGGATATAAAGAGAAGAATATTGTACTAGAGTGAAAATTTTTATTTTATCACTTTAACATAAAACGTCTGTAAATAAATATGTTAATACAACAAAATTTGTACATAGATTTAAACTTCTTCTCTGTCGTTTCGCTCTTGGCAGAGCGGTCGTGGTCACGTTGAGGCGGCTGTATTTGTGTTGGTGGCCGTTACAGCTTCCCTCACGATCTCCCGCCATCTCTCTTTGTTTGGGGATTGTCTGGCGCAGTCTGACACTGGGTTTCCCGTTGCCGATTTGACTTGATCAGTCCAGCGCATAGGTGATCTGCCTCGTGATCGGTTCCCTCTACTTTCCCTTGAACGACCAGCCACTGTACAATGTAACACCCACTTTTTCACTATTTATGTTATGAGTCCCATGTAATAGGGGGTGAGTCTATTGCCATATACCGGGCACAATTCCTGCCTGCCTGCCTCGTTGGCCGAGTGGTCGCATGTGCGACTGCCAGGCAAGGGGTCTCGGGTTCGATTCCCGGGTCAGGCAAAGTATTACTGGGTTTTAAAAAAAATCTCAGTAGCACGGAGTCTAGTCCTAACCATAAGCTTAAATAATAAAATAACATTTGAGCAGTCGGAACGAACAGGCCATAAATCTTTGTTTATACGAGCGTCGCGCCGATAAGGTGTCAGATGACGCCACACGTGTGCTCCGTACTCGTACATGTCTTATGAAAGTTAGAAAATGAATTTAGTTAAACATTTTGATGCCTTTGTGTTGTAAAATTTTATTAGGCGCTCCATTTCTTTTTTCCTTATATGTATGATTTACGGCATTTAACATATCTGATATTATGAGTGCCTTTAATTCGATCAATACTTTATTGACAGAAGTTAAAAAGGCAGTACCCCATCAGTTTCATTTGGCAGTGTTATAGACACTCTTTAAAACTATTATGTATTGATAACCTTTCGGAATCGACTGCTGGCTGTCAACAAGGCTATCCCCTTGGGCCAGTTGTTTTTAGTTTGGCCATAAATCCACTCAGTCGGCCAGTATAACGATGAAGGTACTTTGAGAAATGATGCAGATAGAGTTTTAAGTGATTTAATTTTTTTGAAAAAAGAACTTATTGCTATTGGCTTCCACCTCCTGATGTATTAATTTATTGATGTATGAAACAGTTATTGTGACATGCTATTTTTAGGTGTGAAATATACAGGTCCCTGAAGTCGACGATCAAATGGCACCAGATGATCGGCAAGGTTTCAACAATTATCAGAAATATAAAGAAAAAATTCAAAACAAACATTAATTTAAAATTACAATGACATGTGCTACTTATTCACGAAAAAGTATACCCTGTGACAGTCTTTTCACTCTTGTTGCTACAATTCTTTATATTTCGTCTGTATTTTTGCTTAAGCAAAAAGACAGAATTTATAATTCCATAATACTTTATGGAATTATAAATTCTGTGCCACACCGCTGATAAACAGTAAAAGAAAACATCGTAAGGAACGTGTTCATAGAGAACCCCGGAACAGAATTTAATGAGCTTTGGTACAATGAACCATATCTGTGATAGCTTCCAAGCTTCAGCAAACCCCCTATCAATGACAGTTCATTAGGATTTCAATGTTGATACCTTTGTTCTTTTTATTTTATGTAGTTGTATAAATTCGGTTTCGAAATCGTCAGTTTATGTTGTGAGTTTGGCCTCTTCCATGCTCTGTGGTCAGTCGTGGTAGTGTCGTCCACAGAGTACTAAACCGGTTCGTCGTCGTTAACTTTATGGTTTGCCGCCAGTTCAACTTCACTATAATTACATGCTCTGTGAACTTCACTCACTAGCTATTTTATAGTGTATCATCTGTGACTCACCACTGACAGTTTTACATGCTCTCTGTGAACTTCACTCACCACTGACAGTTTTCCTTGTTTACTTTGATTCAAATTCAGATTTGATTGAAGTGCGGAAAGTTTTAGATGATTACCGGCTGTGCTTATTGTTGTTGCTTTATACTTACAATAAATAATTGAAACATGGATTCTGATTCGTTCTTCTTAGAATTACCAAAAGTTGTAAGTGTTCTTCATAATAAAAGAATATTTAATTTTCAATACCATTCTTAATTTTTTTAAATTCTTAATTATAATAATATGCTTTAAGGAACTGCATGCGCATCTAAATGGTTCTCTAAGTCCGGCTACGATGCTCCAGCTAAAGAGGTTCCACGCTGACTCTGGTATTGAAGATAAAACGAATGCTTTCTTTGATGAATTTCAAATCGGCGCCGGCGACAGCAGGAATCTGACGGAGTAATTTATTTATTTTATTAAATGAAATATACTATTAATGTTAGATGCAATACATGCAAATATTTTTAAAAATCGTCATAAAACACTTAGGTATTATTAATATTATATTATCCCTACAATTTAGTTGATTTATAAAAAATATATTTTGGTGCATTTGGAAACAAAAGCGATGTAACTCTGTCAAAAAATTGTATAATGCAGTTATGTATGACCTTCCTTTGTTATTATTTCCTCTTAAGTTGTCTAATTTTAAAAATGACTCATGCAATACATATCTCGCATCTCGCATGTAAATGAAGCAATTTGAATAATCATTATGTTGAGTTGATGCACTTATTGCCACTTTACATTGTTTATGTGCACTAACTCAATGATAACATTTGTTATCTATTTGGTGCTTAAACATTCTCATGTTTATTCAATGTTATACCTATACATGTATGAATTCTCCGATTACAAGTAATGGACTAGTACTATTACAATGAATACAATAGGAAACAGGTAGCCATATACCCTAAAATAAATTAGCTATTTTGGTGGCCTAAAATTGTTCCACAACATTGTACTAAGTTTTCTACTAATTTTAAAATAAATGATTCTAGTAGGTACACAATTTATGAGAAAATATATGATAAATAAATTTCACTGAATTAACCATAAAAATATTTTCAGTTGTTTCCAAGTATTCAACATTGCCCATTCTCTGACAAGCACTCCTGACGCGCTGACCATAGCAACTAGGCTGACACTTCAGGAATTTCAAGATGATGGCTGCTGCTACCTTGAGCTCAGAAGTACTCCTCGAGAGACCCCACATATGACTAAAGTCCAGTATATTGAAACTTTGGTTAAAGCTATACAGTAAGTGAAGTGGAAATGATATAAAACTTTATATTTTAACTAGCTGTTTAATGTCATACTTAAATTAAATGAGATTTCATGTCTCCAAATTATTGATTGACTAGGAATAGTTATAAATAAGAATTATGTATTTAAGTTTTAATAATACTGATATTCTTTCCAGAAAGTCTTCTCTCCACCTTACAATGATTGCTCGCCTCATCATTTCCATCAATAGAAAATCACCTGTTGCAGAAGTTGAAGAAATAGCTACACTAGCTGTAGAGTACTACAAGAAGCACCCAGATGTGATTGTGGGAATAGAATTAAGTGGGGACCCAATGGCAGGAACATTCCAGAGTTTTGTACCAGCATTGACACAGGCTCGGAATGCTGGTCTGAAGGTGAACATTTCAAACCATTTATATTATTAAAAAGCAAGCAAGGTGATCACTCAACCAAGGAGGTAATCTACATATATCAATATTTTTTTTACAGGTAACACTACATTGTGGAGAAGTCTGCAACCCTGTTGAAGTGATGGAAATGCTTAAATTTAAGCCAGAACGCCTTGGCCATGGTACTTGTATCCATCCCAAGTATGGAGGGACTGAGGAAACATGGGCGACCCTTTGTGAATTAAAAATACCTGTTGGTCAGTTAGCCTCAGTAGCTTGTAATATGTAGCACACAGTTTTTACTTATGCATTTATATGACAATATTTCATTTTATATTTTTCAGAAGTGTGTCTTACAAGTAATGTAAATACTAAATCGACACCAGACTATGAGTCTCATCACTTCAAACTTTTTTATGATGCTGATATACCTACGATTATTTGTGTAAGTAACACGTCGTCTATTTTTATTTTCCGCTTACGAGATAGCGCAAGTGACTCATGAAGTCATGTTAGTCCAATCCTTTAGAAGGTATTACATTAAGAAATTTTCTATTCGTTCCTTTGGTGGCGCTAACACCCTCGTCAAGTACCATCGCATTTAAATCTTGTTTTTATTTCCACAGACTGACGACAAGGGCGTTTTCTCAACATCATTGTCTCAAGAATATCAAATTTGTCTTAAAACCTTTTCTCTTACTTCATCACAAACTGCAAGATTAGCCCTGAATGCATGCCAATACGTTTTTGCTGACAATGTTCGTAAAACACTCAATGATAAACTCCTTAATTTTATCGGAAAATATTCATTGTAACGTGATTACTTCTTAAAATATAAATACAGGGTTTAGTTAAATATTCGTGTTTTATTTTAGGTTCCCAGATTTGTTAAAATATAACGCTTTCAAGTCGTCGCGAAGGAACTTCGTCGCTTCGTAATTATGACTATAAATTATACGAAATGCATGGTTGTTTTTCACTAATAATTATTTACACCTAAATCTCTAAATTGCATTTGGTTTTTTAGTTTTTTAGCCATATGAAAATCCATTCTGTTACGTCTAAAAAGCTAGGTACCCAAAGAAGGTAGCAATAAACGACGTTCCGCGTTTAGTTACAACTATGATTGAATGTCAGTAAGTTTGAAGTTTGTCTCAAGCCCGTTTGTAACTTGATGAATCGAAACGTGAAATAACCTCAAAAAGCTGAAGAAGATACCAAGATTTCTTGAATTAAAATTTCGTAATACTAAAATCTAAAATGAGTGATTTATCTGATTTCGCGAGTCCTAAAGGAGCAGACTCCGAACTGCAAGATTTTCTTCTTGCAGAAAAACAAAAAGCCCAATTCCATGCACAGGTAAATAGATTTTATTTCCATAAAAATAGTCTTTATTGCATCATTTTAAGTTTTCATTTTTGAGTAACAAATTTTTGTTTATTACTTTAATAATACTAATGAGTGCGATGTTACTTTAAACATTACATGTTTATTTTGTAACATTATGCTAAGCCTTCGTAGTCGTTACTTAATCCTGAGCTGAGCAATCAAATAAATTATTATTTTATATCCGATCGTTACTTATTTCCAGATCCATGAATTCAACGACTTCTGTTGGGACAAATGTGTTGATAAACCTGGAGCCAAGCTGGACTCTCGCACGGAAACCTGCATTACGAATTGTGTCGAAAGATTCATAGATGTTTCATTACTTATCACTAACAGATTCGCCCAAATGCTCGAAAAAGGAGGTGGAATGCATTGAATCTTTATAGTTATATAAACGTGTTATAAACTGACCTAGTAGCTCAGTCAACATATGCAACTGTTGTGCATTTTTAGGTTCAAGGTTTTATGAAGGTGCATTTTGTTTTATCTTAGTAGCTAGTGACCAAGCTGTTGTGATGTGTACTACAGTACACTTAGGGAGTACCTCAACAATTGTTAATTCAATTTCAGAATTAAACTAAGCTATTTAAATAATTGTTTTATTTAATGATATAAATAGATTACAGATCAGTTCGGTTGAAATCTTTGTTAGTCTAATGCACTGTTACAAACTTAGTTCTTATTTGCTTAAGTTACTGTGAACTTGATACAAACAGTTACTTAAAATTTACAAGACCTAAATAAATGCAGTGATCAGTGACAGCACATTAATAATTTTTTTTGGGCATCTTCTATAACAAAGTTACAAGAAACAAGTTTAAAAAAATTGCAATAATTATCTTCAGCCAGTATAATAGACAAGATCATTAAGTTTAAAGAGATGCCCAACCTGCTTTATTACAACTTATCTACCAACTCTTCCAAGTGTAGTATCAGTTCTTGGATCAGCAGTTACAGTTTGGACGGCAACCAATGATTCATTGATCTTGGTCTGCAAATCTCTAAGATCTTGAACAAACAGCAGCTTCAAGACATCAGATGGCTGTTGTATTAAATTGGCCTCAGTTGGGGGTGGTTCTGGGTGTGGTGTGGTCTTTAGAATGTTGGCTAGGGCTGCCAACCGGAATTTAGGGTCTGGGTGAGGTCCGACTCCAGCTAAGGTGCAGACTCTTTCTACACCTGCCTTGAATGCTGGATTTGAAACTGTAAGAGAAAAAGAAATATAATATAGAGACCCAATGTCAGTGGTGGCACCTTGCTCAAGTGAATTATTGTCCTTCTCCAAACTCCTTCATAAAGATTGGTTGAGTAGATAAGGAATAAAGGGGTAACAAACAATCAATTTTATTTCTTATACTCACAGTCAAGGTTATCCAAGGGATTAGAGGATACAACATTGGGTGCAGCCTGCTTTGGTTTTGCCACCTTTGCATTTTTGTACTTTTCAACTGAAATAAAATGTTATGCAAGATATGAGTAATAATCATGATAACTTTTTGGATATGAAAAATGTATGTTTCTTAGTTAAGTATATTATTTTTTAAGAATATCAAAAATTAAAAGGCCTTTCATTAGGTTAGGTTAACTGAACTAACAAATATATTTATGGGTACCCTAAAATATGGGTGGTCAATTAGCATCATGCAATAGTGTGCAATATGGGTTGCTGGATTTTCCTGCACGAAGGCCTAATGATAAGGAAGTATGATTGAAACATTTAAATTATAACTACATACCATTATCCGCGTACTCTAATCTCACAGCATATGAGAGAAGCCAATTTAATTGTTCATTTGGAGTGCCCTCTAGGACTGGGCTTACTAAATCCTTCTGGTAAGTATTGAAAGCGTCCTTCCAACTATCCTTCTCGATATTTCTCAAACCATCCCGCTCCTCTATCTTATAATGCCTGATTTTCTGATCCTCTAGCCACAAAATTACGCTTCTGTATTCCTTTTCATCTGTAAAATAAAACAAATTGTGTAAAATCGACGCGTAGGAAGCGACACTTTCAAGCTGTTGTTGTGATATAATTACCCTCGCAATTGAAGTCTCCTGGGTTAGGATGGCCCAGAGCAGTTAATTTCAGCTTAAATATATTACTCATAATAATATATTGGTATTTCTAATACGATTTTTCTAACAAACAAAATAACCTATCCAAGACGATTCCGGGAGATGACAGTTTTTGTCAATGTTGTCATCAAATATTTCAATCATTCAATTTTCCCTCACAATCACGAACAATGTTGCCAATGTGTCTCTTTTTTGCGGCGTTCAATTCAACCAAGGTTTTCAGAATTTACATGAGATTCGTAAATATGAATGTTATTGAAAACCTATGTTGATGTAGATTCTATTTAATTAAGTCTATATATATTTTTTTTTGTACAAACCATGCCATATTGCCTTAAAATTACAATTTTCATGAGGTTGGTAAGACCTCGTAACTGTCAAAACAATTGACGTCACAGGAAAATCGTGACTTTGAGCGGACTTGACATTGACATATCATGTCAACAGGAAATATAATGCAGCTTCATACCGAGCTGTTATAAACCGAAATAATTAAAAGTAGTTAAATTATGTATTCAACTTTAAAACTTTAATTATATTCAATTACGTTATTATTACACATACTACTTTGATAGTGCGCGTAATTTTAATAAGTACATACAAGTGAACCGATAAGGACAGTAGTGTAAAACTGACGTGGTTTTAAAGAGAATCGTATTTAAAATTATTTCACCAACATTACTGAACTATTACTTGTTCATTGTACAATGTCTTGGGTCAGAGAGAATTGTCTGTCTTTCTTTCAAATGTTTTGTATAAAAGTTGTGAAGACCGGTCGTATCCCGAAACATGTCGCTTTTATTATGGATGGTAACCGTCGATATGCGAAAAAGAACAGCGTCGATAACAGTGCTGGACATTATAAAGGCTTTGATAAGCTGTCCGAAACTCTGAGGGTGAGGTTTACAATTTACTTTTAGCTCTTAATTAATTCATAATCGGTGGCCTCTTGGGGCTCGCTATAAAACTTTGTTTCTATATTTCTTTATATACTAAGTATCTTGTTATAATGACTTGTACATTTAATTGTGGTCTTTGATTCAATAAGTTCTTTTACACCAAATAAAATAATGTTGAATCACCTACCCTCCCACCCCATCAACATTATTGCTTAGAATGTGACTTTGTGTTAGGAAAGATTTACTGTTACTTGTGAAGGTTTCATGTTATTCTCTAATACAATTGCTAAACTGACCTTATTACTGTTTAACTCATATTGAATTCTGTGAAAACCCCTGTGTTTTAATTTTATTTTCTTTAGTGATTAATTTATTTCATTTATAACTAGCTAACTTGGCAAACTTCAATATGCTTAAATTTTTTTTTTCATCCTTTAAACTGTCAAATACCAAGTGGTCACCGGTGACCGTGACCTATTGTTCTTTAATTGTGTCTATAAAACCGGTACTCGACGAGTTAAACCTTCCCTAGACTTTTATGAACATTTCTGCCAAAATTAGCCAAATCGATTAAACAGTACTTGAGTTATAGCGAGACTAACGAAATAAAATTCATCTTTCTTTATATAGATTAATTTTTCTTTGTTAAATTTCAGTGGTGCCTAGACCTAGGAATCCCAGAAGTAACAGTGTATGCATTCAGTATTGAAAACTTTAAAAGAAGTAAAGAAGAAGTTGATGGTCTTATGGATTTAGCTAGAGACAAGTTTCGAAGATTAATGGATGAAATGTAAGATTTTTTATATATTTGATTTATAAAGTAAAATCTAATTTATTCTGGTTTGACTAATATTATTTTTGTTATTGTCTTGTTATTCTTATTTCAACTGGAGAAAAATTACTTATGAACTTACTTATACTATTACATAAAGCGGAAGAGTTTGTTTTTTTGTTTGAACATGCTAATCACCGTAACTACAAGTTTGATTTGAATAATTATTTCTATATTGGATAGCGCATTTATCTAGAATGGCTATAGGCTATAAAACATCACGCTACAACCAATAAGAGCTGAGCAGAGTGTGTGAAACCACGTGAAAGTAGCTAGTCATATAATATAATCAGTTAGACTAACATATTCCAATTCTATTTAGAAAATAGCCACCTACTAAATTATTCCTTGCTTTTAAAAGGCGTATAAACTGACAGTAAACATAATCATATTATCATATCATTTTATGTAAGACTCTTGAAAGGTTTTATGTATTAGATTAATTTGGATATTTCCTGTGTTTTGTACCAAATAATATTATAATTAATTAGGGAAACATAGTTTAATGATTGTTTATCCTTTTAACAGTGATCAAATCAACGAGTGGGGTGTGAGGATACATATTGCAGGCAGGCTGTCTTTACTACCAGAGGATTTGCAAGCGCTAGTATCGAAATCCATGCTGGCAACGAGGCATAACAATAAGCTTAGACTTAATATTGCTTATGCCTATACAGGTATGCTTCCTATTTAATTCGTTATTAGTATATTTCTTCAAAATAATGTGGTTTAGGTCCTTGAAGTCCAACACTCAAAATCGATTATGACCGAGCAAGAGCTCAGAACTGTTTTTCTGCTAATATTAAAAAAAAATCCACATAAAATATATTAGCTACGTCGACGCGGTTTCACCCGCTTGACTCGGCTCCTATTGGTCATAGCATGAAGTTTTATAGCCTATAGCCTGGCCTAATAGTTCTGGAGATTAGTGCGTTCAAACAAACACTTCAGCTTTGTCTATACATATAATAATAAAATCTATAATATAATTTTTTTATAAAAGAATCCTTGGGGCGTGATCTATAATCGATACTGAAGCTGAAAATGTGGTTTTTAGAATTTGTATCGGTTTGTCTGTGTGTATGTCCGGGATGAACTCATAAAGTGCTACACGGATTTGTGTCCGTTACCCAGGCCAGATGTTGTCGAAAATGGTCATTTGAATCTTATAGATTATTAGTTTTGCCGCTTCTGTAATTGTTGCGCACATTTTTAAATTTATTGCGCTTATAGTTTTTTTATTATTTCACTTCACAAGCTATGTATTATTTTAGTTTTTTTTATTGCGGAACTAATTTAAACTAATTCCTAAGAAGCCATGTACAAAATATGATAAGAATCCGCTAAACCATTTCAAAGATCTAGCAAAACCAAAAACGTTACCCCAGCAAAATCTCGAATGACTTCGCAACCGATGAAAGAATAAATACAAAATAATGCATAACATTTACTTCATCTCGACAACTAATTTTATAGCTAGTAATTATTTAAATATTCCCATTAGAAAGAAAAAGGTCTGGCTGGGGTAACGTTTCCCCAGCAGGAAAGGTATTTGTGAAATAATTAAAAAACTCTTAGCGCAACAAATTTAAAAATTTGCGCAACAATTACAGAAGCCGCAAAACTATCTATCAGATTCAAATGACCATTTTCGACAACATCTGGCCTGGGTAACGCACACCACGGATTTACCTTAAATTGCGCATGAATATTACTAACAGGTCGGGTCAACATACTATCACGCTATCACTTACGGGAGAGGAGCTGTGAATCACTCTTTCATGCAGACTAGTCGCTGGTACAGCTAGTATAATACTATAAGATAAGATTACAAGTTGTATGTCTAGCGAAGGTTTAATAATATTTAATTTTCATAACAATTTTCAGGTAGGGATGAAATCAGTAGAGCTGCATCTCACATAGTAGATGGAGTGAAAAACAATGATATACCACCAGAAGACATTGATGATGAGCTTGTATCAAAAATCCTAGAGTTAAGGGAAGCTGAACTTCTTGTGAGGACATCAGGCGAAGTGAGATTGTCCGACTTTATGTTATGGCAGGTGAGTATAATACATATGTAAGGGCTATATTTCACCACATATGGTGTCCACTTGGTTGTTCAACCAAGCCTACACCAGGTGAGTACCTCTCTATAGTGTTCTATACATTTTAATTGGTAGTGGCGTCTGGTTGCACCGGCGTGGTGTACCACTGAAATATAGAACAACTAGATGCTTAACGTGTGCGTTACCCAGGCTAGATGTTGTCGAAAATGGTCATTTGAATCTTATAGATAAAATTACAGATAACAATTTAGCTTTTTTGAAATTTTCTATTATTTTTTTATTTCAGTATATACAGTACACAATTACAGTTTTATTTAAATATGCATATATTGGACTGTGTACTGATCACAGACAATAAATAATATACAACGGTTTTTTTCAGTTAACACTAAACAATCATACGATACTTACAGACTATATAACATAACACGAAACGTACGCGCACACTAAAATATAAATTAAGTGATTATGGAGCGTGTTTAGTGTGTAAGGTGTTATTATACTAAACATTTCAAAAGATAGTATAATGTTCTGCGTTTTCGCTTTTTCGTAACCACCTAAACTTGGTCGGGTTATCACGGTAATTCACTTCCTAATGACTAATCGTATTATCTCATTAATTATCCAATGTACTGAGCTGAAATTTTACTGATATACAACTGAATTAAACAACTCATTATTGACATAACATTCAGTTCATACATCCAATCCAGTGGCCAAAAAACACCGCGCGCATCAAGTCCGTGTTCGTGAAAAACTCAACATCATCATATCTTGTTAAATACAGGATACTTATGAAACTTCACATACATTTGAAGGCAGTTACAAGCTTTAAAATAACGTTTAGAGTAAGTCTTTAGAGCTCTTATTGAGAGTGCTGGGACCAATTGAAGTGTTTTTCTATTAAATAAAATAACCTGTAAGCTATTTTGGTTTTTTATTGCAGAACAAATTTAAACTAAATCCTAAGAAGCCATGTACAAAATATGATAAGAATCCGCTTAACCATTTCAAAGATCTAGCAAAACCAAAAACGTTACCCCAGCAGAATCTCAAATAACTTCGCAACCGATGGAAGAACAAATACAAAATAAGGCACAAAATTTACTTCATTTAGACAACTAATTTTATAGCTAGTAATTATTTAAATATTCCCATTAGAAAGAAAAAGGTTTGGCTGGGGTAACGTTACCCCAGCAGGAAATGGACTTGTGAAATGATTAAAAAACTATAAGCGCAACAACTTTAAAAATGTGCGCAACAATTACAGAAGCCGCACAACTAATTATCTATAAGATTCAAATGACCATTTTCGACAACATCTGGCATGGGTAACGCACACATGCTTAACTGTTTCATATCTTCATAATGTCCCACATGTTATGTCACATTATTTTGAATGTGGACGAAGGTTTATGTGTCAACTCTAAAGTTATGGCTTCTTCAGATTTCATCGTACCATCTTACTTGATATTATAAATGCGTAAGTGTATGTATATGTTTGTTACTGAATTGCATCAAAACTGCTGAATGGATTGTTATGAAATTTGGAACAGAGATAGATTATGATCTGAAATAACACAAAGCCTTTTTTCCCACGGGAACGTGGACGAAGTCGCGGTCAGAAGCCAGTATTAAATATAAATATGACATAATACCTTCATCAACTCAAGTTTTCGTTTAATTTCAGCATGTATGTTTGGGAAATCATCAAAATAAAATATTTTTTACATACTTACCTATTATTTTTCAGGTTTCCAACACTGTGCTGTACTTTACGGAAGTTCTATGGCCGGAGTTCAGTATTTGGAATCTTTTGGCAGCCATAATACACTTCCAAAGATATGCTCCATCACCCAAACAGCCAGAACATCTCAGTGACACAAAGAAACGGTTTTTGGAAAAGTTGGAAAGCCAAAGATGGCAGCATATTGAGAAAATAGTCAATTGTTCGTTATATGCATAGTTAAAAGTAGCTGATGTCGAACAATTTAATTTAAATTATTAGTAATATTATTTTCCTTTGTCTTTTTATTCAAGCATATAAATATAATCTTTATTTATTAGAATATTTTAGCATAATTTTATCTTTGTTGTAATTTATGTATTTTATTGCGATCAACTAAGTTGTTCTTGTTAATTATTTTTCATTTATTATTCAAGATTTATTTTGTTGTTTAAATCAAATGCTACATTATTTTATTACCGAAGTAATATCTCTCAACAGGGTGTTGCAAAGATGTGAAGTACAATAATTTGTGGCAAATATTGTTGTTATATTCTATAAAAAACTAGGTAAAGATAAAAATAAAAAACTTGTATAACTATAAACAAATACACATAATTTATTTATTTATAACATTCGTTGGTATTATTGCCTTTAATCGTCCAACTGGTTGCTGCTTCATGGTAACTTAATATAAGGTATGGCGGTTTCATTTTCCCTTGATTGTGTATTTGGAATATGTTTTTGTCGGATCATAGGGCTCCCATCTAGAAGCAGGGAAGATGTGCTTGTTTCTTTCATACCAGGACCTGTAAGCATAATAAGTTAATTAAGTTAATGTAATACTTTGCATTTAAACAAAGAACTAAAAGTTCAAAGCACTTTTTATCCTCTAAAGGAGATTAAATCTTAATTGTATAATAAAGTAAATTATTTATTTCTGCTCCAGAGAGCACATGAAATTAAGTGTTTGAAGTTATTCAAATCATTAAATCCTGATATCACCAGAATTATAATTATATTTCCTTACCTCAGTAACACTTTTCCGGCATGGGAATCCTGTTTTTCTTGTGTGGCATCGTTTACAAGTCTGACATCATCGGAAGCATCAAATTGGAATAGAGGACCACTTTTTCCTCTGGCCTGTAATATTAAAATTAATTAGATTCCTGCATATTATCTAGATATCCATTATCCTGATGTTGTATCGAAATAGTATATCAGGATAACAACAATATGTTGTTGTCATTATCAAGAGGATTACCAATTAGTGACTGTTTGTCTGAGAAGAATGATCTCAAAAATTACTGAACATATTTCCTTAAACATTTTCGCATTCCACAAAGAATCGAGTAAGATTTATTAATTAAGTTTTTCACTAAATTGACATTTAAGTATTTATAAAACTACAAATGAACAGATCATAAAGATGAACGTAAAGAATCCAAACAACTTACCTTAGTAACTATAAAATCATAGAATGTGTAATGGTGGGGTAAAATGAGATCTTCTTTCACATACATAAGCTGGTCTGCGGACACAGTTTTCAGTTCACTGAACTCAGGGCGCAGAGTATCAAGGCATCTTTGAAGGAATTGGTATATGGAATTACCTGAGAGACAAAAAATGTATCAATCTTAGAAAAAAGTGTTTATACTGATTCATATACTTAATTAGCACAAACCTTTAATGTGTGCGTTACCCAGGCCAGATGTTGTCGAAAATGGTCATTTGAATCTTATAGATAATTAGTAGTGCTGGGATCAATCAAAGTGTTTTTCTATTAAATAAAATAACCTTTAAGCTGTTTATTATTTTGGTTTTTTATTGCAGAACTAATTTAAACTAATTCCTAAGAAGTACAAAATATGGATAAGAATCCGCTTAACCATTTCAAAGATCCAGCAAAATCAAAAACGTTACCCCAGCAAAATGAAAGAATAAATACAATATTTACTTCATCTCGACAACTAATTTTATAGCTAGTAATTATTTACATTACCCCTGCCAGACCTTTTTCTTTCTAATGGGAATATTTCTAATTAATATTCTAATTACCCAGCAGAAAATGTTTTTGTGAAATAATTAAAAAAGTATAAGCACAACAAAAAAAATGTGCGCAACAATTACAGACGCCGTACAACTAATTATCTTTAAGATTCAATTTCAAATGACCATTTTCGACAGCATCTGGCCTGGGTAACGCACACACCCATAATTTGATGATTTAATTTCAACTGTGAATATTTTGAGACTTTTAAGATTGTTTTTATTTACATACTTATTTTTCAACACATCTTTAGGGCAAAATACGTAACTTACTGTAAATACAAAATAGGAGGAATGGAAGCCAACAAAAATAATTTGGGAAAATGAAAGAAAAAGACATTTGCAGTAATACCCAAGTAAATTAGTATGAAAAACATAATGAAGATGAAAACCTTACCTTTTTTCAAGGTAACATTTCGTCTATGACCTGATCCATCCCAGTAGCTGAATGTGACTGTGATGGGCTCATCTTTGAGGCTTGCTTGTGTCATCACCCATTCTAAACGGAGTTCTTCTCGTAACTTCAAGTCGGCTTCCTCTCTCTCTCTGTCTGGCAGGAATGATGTATCCACATCTGGATTCTTTTTAATTTTTTTGTACACCTGCAATTGACATTATAATTGGCTGAAGTTATTTCCAAACTAAAAGAAATGCTGCTACGAGATCTATATATATAAAAATAAATCCCTTTTCCCTTGGCCACGGCATCATGCATGTATGGCTGGACCGACCGAGAGAAGGTTCTTAAGACGGAAAAAATCCTAAAAATCCTACGGGAACGGGACAAAACGGGATTGCGCGTACGAAGTCAAGGGCAGAAGCTAGTAAACAATAGAAAATATATTGCCCATTGATTCAATCTACATTTTGGAAAGCCATGGGTTACTAAGAATCTATTTGAAGTATGACATACTGGTTCCTCTTTGTCCCTCCAAGATTTATCCTCAACTGGTGGTTTCTCATCAGCTGAAGACTCCTCTGCAGCATCAGGTTCCACCTCCTTCTCTTCCTCTTCCTCTTCTTCCTCATTCAAATCAAATGAAAGTGCTTGGATCTAGAAATAATTTAGAATTTAAATATCTGTTAATATTTACTGACGTAGGCGTATGCAAAGGCACTAAATGGCCACTGTCCAATGTAACACCCACTTTTCACTATTTATGTTTCGAGTCCCATGTATCCCATAGGTGGTGAGCCTATTGCCATATATCAGTGACATTGTAAGACTTCGTGCTACTACTAAGATTTTTTCTTTAAAAACCCAGTAACACTTTGCCAGACCCAAAAATTGAACCCGAGACCCCTTGCCCAGCAGTTGCACTTGCATATATTCTGGTACTGAGGCAGGCATATTTACTGATCTCAGATCAGAGTTATACTGATGAAAGTTAACTGATGCTATACATGGACTTTAATTGCAACTTGTGTGCTAAATATGGACTTTAACAGTATAGTTGGTTTCATAGAATTTATTCAGGACATTCAAGCTTCGCTATTCATCACATTACTCATATTCACATTAAAGATAAAAATCTATTGATGAAACTTTACAAATGAAGAGCATATACAAGTGTAAATAAACAATGTGTTATTTTACAGTTTACTCAATAATAAACTTTACCAACCTGTCTCTTTTGTTTATTTTTCTGTGCTTGTTTAGCTTCGATCTCCTTCTGCCTTTCCTTTTCTTTCTCTGCTTTCTTCTGTGCTAATTTCTTTTCTCGTTCTCTGACTATGTGTTCTTGTTTTGCTTTCATCTCATCAAGGGTAACTAAACCAATCGTGGAACTCTTCAGTTGTTGTTCCACGGCATCGTAGTGTGTAGCGAACTTATTCTCAATGTTTACCATTTTTAAATCTTCCTCAATCTTCTTTTTACGCAGTTCTATTTCTTGTTGAGCTTTCTCTCTTTTCTTCATGAGGTGCATAGCTCTGCCAGCCTCAGATGCCGCTCCTTTATAGTGTGCCATGATTGTGTTTAACTGTGACTAATGAGAGAAACTTAATAATTCTTTAATAACACAAATAAATGCTAAATATCCTCAGCCAGGAGATCACTTTCCAGAAAAACCTTCGATTCAACCAGCTCAGACGATTGCTAAACAACACTTTGACAAGTTTGACAACAAGACAGTGCAGTGACAATACCATTATTTTTATTGTGGCTGTTACATTGATAGTTAGACTGAACACTAGGCTTTTTAAATATGTCTATGGGCTCTAAGGCTTAACCTTTTTTTTTATCTGTCTGGTCCTTGTTGTCAGTGTCACGTTAAGCACATGTCAGGCACTTAAATTTTTGACTGTGGTTCGCGGGTGAAAGAAAGAAATTGATTGGTATTGTGATTGTGAAATTACCGGTCGGATTTTCAGTTTTGAGGAAACGTTGCACTTGTTTTCATTTTCACCATGAATGAATCAATACTAATACCATCACCAAATTGGTTCTACCCGTCTGTAATGGCTGTGAGTTCTGATGGCTGGCTTATTTATGGAGGACCGAGTAAAAGTATTTGTGTTTGTGAACCACAAACGAAGGATATCGGTATTATAGCTGCAAAAGATAAATATCAAGCTCACGTTTTTTTCGTAGGAAATTCAGAGAGGTGAGATACAAATCTTATAATACTGTACATCGTAATGCAATCAGCAGTAAGTGCTGAAATTCTTTTGTTTAACTTGTGTGTTCATTCATCAGTCTAATTTTATTATTATTAAATGTAATCTGTCACACAGGATTATATCAGTGGACTTATCTCCGGAATGGTTAGAAAAAAAGTCCTTCGTCTCTGGTACTCAAGATGGTACTGTGAAACAATGGTTCATACAAAAGGAAAATGATAAAATGAAAATTAAAGATCCACAATGCCACGAATTTCATAAGACTGTTAGTGAAGTAAGTATTAAATTATTATTTATAGCTATTTATGTGAATTTCACAAAAAATATGTGATTTGGTTCATCATTGGTTTGTTACCAAAATTAATTATTAAACACCAAGCGGTCACCGGTGACCGCGACGTTCTTTAATTGTGTCTATAAAACTGGTACTCAACGAGTTAATATAGCTTAAATTATAACATCCATTGACAAAATTTCTACTAGTTTCAAGTCACACTGGGACTCATTCAAAAGCAGCATTCATTATAATTTAAATCAATTTCAATCTTCATATAATTTAATTGGAAGTACATATGTGTTGGAATTAAATAAGCATTTGCTGCATTTACCATTCAACTGATCATTTCTTTATTTCTAGGATCTAGTTGGAGTAGGTTACAGTAATGCTACAACAGCTATTTCAGTTGGAGCTCATAATAACATAGTCAAATGGGACCTAGCATCAAATGTTACCAAGGTGTACAACCACTTTATGAAGACCTTCCGAGCTACCTGCATGGCATGTTCCCCTCATGTATCGTTGCAGGTGGCTGTAGGGACAAAACAGGGTGTAGTCTTCCTTATCGATTTGCATGGTAAGTATAAATTTACATTTATGTCCAACTTTAACTTGGCCCACACTTTCTTTGTGGAGAATAATGAGAGGAGCAGTTGATTTACCAAAAATTTTGTGGTGCTGAATTTTATTTCAACATGGTCATGCTTTGTTTATAGGTAAAGGAAAACTACTATACAAAGTCCGAGGCCAAGATGACCCAGTAATGTACCTGAGCTGGTGCCCAAAATATGTCACAACCGTAGTAAATAAAGGTAAAGAAGTCCAGTCGTCACTTGCTGAACGACTTCAAGCTATAAGAAGAGAAGCAGACCAGGAAACTGAACAGCTAGAACAATCTGGAATTGAGAAGAACCTTCCGGAAGATAGCTTCGATGAGTCTGTAGTACAGGAGGATGATACATTTGACATCTATAAAGACCATGAACATGATGAGTTTGGGCATAAAAAGTATGAACCGGAGAGTATCAGGGTAAAGGTGAAGAAGGAGGAAGCTGCAGAAACTGATTATTTAGCTGAATGTTTGAAGTTAAAAGAGGAGATATTGAGGAGAAAGAATCAACCAGAACCAAGTATAGAGTCATTGGTTAATGCATTAGATGGGACCCATGTAGAAAGTGACAATGATGGTCCAACTGCACAAGCTGAGGCAGAAAATGCTCAAGCCGTGCCTGAACCAGCAACAAGTTCAGTGAAGACTGTCAAAATTAGTTGTCGCACTAGTCAAGAGCATAAACATCTGCTTGCATCAATAGGAAAAGTTGGGTCAGTTTTTTGTGAAGTTACTTAATAGTATTTTGATATTTTTCCTTGTATTTGTTTGTGATGCAGTAGCTGCCAACTTGAGTAATTTGAATATTAGGTCATGTAACTTATTTGGAATCTTTTATTTTCAGAGGAGTTCGAATATGGTCAGAGACAGGTAAACTAGTGGCCACTTGTGTTATTCCGGCGGTTCCTAAAAGTGCTATGAAAGGAAATTTCGTCGCTTCACTGCTTTGGTACACTCCCACAACACTTCTTGTTATTGATGGTAGAAACCAACTGCTGGAGATTAATCCACTTAGAATTGACAAGTAAGTTTATCATTTGAACTTATATTTGTGTAAACTATGACTTTCGTTTTCAATTTTAATTCTGTGGTAAATATGATCGAGATATTCTAATTTGGAAGTAAGAAAGAAAAACCGTTTATTACGCTATGACACACAACAAGAAATAAATTCATTAATTACACACAATTTCAGAAATTGTCATGGAGTCTAGAATATAGCTAGTGTAGAGTAAAAGAATGCCTATTATTCCTTTTTGTCTTTTAAGTAAATAAACATCTTTTCAATTTCCCGCCACTATTTACTGAAATCAATTTTATTGGTCTTGGGAATTAAACAAATAATACATTACTTTTTTGGTAATGCTCAATTGAACATTTTTGTTGTAAAAGTATAGAGCCTTATTATTCTTCTTCAATTTACAGAAAGAACAGACTAGATTGGTGTGTATTAAAGCACTTACACAAGCGTGGGATGTACTGCATAAAGACAAATGCGCCATCAGTGCAAGAGAATGACGTACAGTCCTCAGATGATTGGTCCGTGTGGACCGTAGCACAGGACAGGACTATTATACGATATTGTATGAAGAAGAAAAGGACTTTGGCTATCATTCCCACTGCGGGAGGTTCTGTTTATGCAGTGGCTGTTTGCCCTTATGATGCTGGAAGGTAAATGCCATATTATTTTGTTTGTTAGATACTTCCATGTTTAAATTTCTCAATTATTAGCTGTGAGATAGGTTTCAAGTCTTTATCACACATCACACTAATCCGATATAGGATATAATATATTATTCAACATACCAACTTCATAGTCATTATTGTTCAAATGTAATTTTATTTTAATTTTTAACCCTAGAAAGATAACCTACGCTTCAGAGGCGCCCGCGTCGGTTTAAAATCGCTGTCTCTTTGTAATGTGCGCGCGTATCTACCTGTCCTTTTAAGTTAGCTCAGTGGTCGGTGCACTGAGTCGCGGGACGGCCGTTTTTACGCGGTAAGTACCATAGTTTTGCAGTTATGACTAAGTGTTGCGCTCCAAAGGCGCATGGTTATCTTTTGTGTGACTTTTAGTAAAAGTATGAACTTGTTTATACTTACATAAAATGTTAATTTAAACTGTTTATTTCTTTGTTTTTAGTACAAAATCTTTTCACTTTCATTATGACGAGCTGGAGGACACTTTCTGATGATGCAATATAATAGGTTTATCGCTAAAGAGGAAGAGAAGGAGCATGAACTAGAGCAAGGAAGTGACAGTGAGACAGAAGAATAATTTGAGTGAAGGTGACATACAGAGTGATTTCGAAGACTAGTTTATAGATGATGAGGTGCCACAACAATTGAATGATACACAAAATGAAGACGATATAAGTCCATCTGTATCTTCAGAACTCACTGGAATTTCGACCAATTGTGTTCTTCAATGTCGTGTTCGAGGAAAACCAATAGATGGCCAATGTGTATGTTTTATGGCATTCTGAACATAGAATTCGTCAATTCTTATGTTATATATTGTCACAACAATCTTGCTAAAAATGAAAAGCCTCTAAATAGAAGGGGTTATATGAAAAACATAAGCGCCCCGTTGTCTGAATCGTGGATGTAGGAAAGACTGGAAGCTCCTACTTTGCCAAAGCATGTGAGAGATAATATCGTTAGTATTCTTCCGAAACCGGTTGTACATAACGATACAGATATCGAAGAAGAACTTCCAGCAAAGAAAAGGCGGTATTGCACCTTTTGCACTAATAAAAAAAAAATAATGTCTAAGATAAAAATGCAAGGCGAACACAAAAATGATGTTTGTTTTGAATGCCTATCAAACCAAATTTGAGCCTAACGATTGTAGTTCTGACTGATTTTTTTAGTTGATTAGTTAGTAAGAAATGAATTAATTCGTTTATAAGAAGAAATAAAAATCATTTTTTGATACTTTGTTCCTGTAAACAGAAGACTGCTAATTTTGTTATTTTTTTCTAGAGATTTTTATGACTTAAGTTTTATTTTTAAAATATAAAAAATATTCCACTAAAAACGTTTTTTATTATTAGTTCATGTAACATACTTCAAAAAAAATAAGTAAGTAAATACAATAAATAGGTATTTCATTAAAAAATATATATTAATATTTTGTGCGCCTCCGAAGCGCATGGTTATCTTTTGTAACAGTCAAAATATGGTTATCTTTCTAGGGTTAAAGAAACATTAATAATATTTTTAATGCGTAACATAAGTCCATTAACTGTATTTAATCCACTAAAAATAATTACTTAAATTGCTTTGGCACATATATAATTAATTTTTCACTACCAGGGTAGCAGTAAGTGTAGGAGATGGTGCGGTCCGCGTAATGGAGAGTAATACCCTCGTAGATGATGACATGAAAATCACACCTCCAAGGGTCTACTCCTACTGGCAGAATGTTCAAGGAAAAGTCCTCAACGTCGCCTGGCATCCCACCAGAGAGAATGTGCTAGCTTATTCTACTGGAGAATCTCGAGTGAGTACTCATCTCGCCTTATTCCAAGACTTAAAATTTGCTTAACCTTTCATGTGTCTAAACGTGGATCCACGCGAGACACAATGTATTTTCTATTGTCTCATATCTGTGCATTCAAGCGGTTAATATTATTTGGTTTTTTTTTTTTCATTTTTCTTATCACAAACTCCTTTTTTCTTTTATATCATTCTTCATTAATTCTATCCATCTTTGGCCTTAGTCAGTCTTCTAATAAATCTTTTTCAGTTTTATGAAAAAAGCAGTCCTGCCACATGCATAAATGATAGAATTCTAGAACTCAAAAGTTAGAGTTAAAAAAATGTTAAAAGGCTTATTTACTTCCGCTGAAGTGCTCCACATTTATATACTTGCACTATGATAAAGTCGCAACCAGTACCGTCTTTACCATAAGGGCACTCGGGGCCCGTGCCCAGGGCCCCCATCCTCAGAGAACCCCGAATGACCGACAATTTCTACGACGGACACACCTGGCTGTCGCGCATCTTGTATTATCTTGTGCGGGTTCGATTTCCGCATGGTACAAATCTTTGTGTGCAACGTTAAGATACAAAAAAAAAACTTTAATATAGGCACCGGATTATTGGGTGCCCAAGGGCCCCAGAGTAGTCTAAGACGGCCCCGGTCGCAACTTATAACATTGGCCCCATCAACACATGACATAATGGCACTGTACAATGTAACATCCACTTTTCACTATTTATATTATGAGTCCCATGTAACCCCTAGGGCTCATGCCCTATTTTAATGTCCGTCTGGTAAATTATTTTAAATCATTAGACACGTATTTTTATTTTCTTACAGAAACGAATACTTTCGACGATATATTGATTTGAAATGTCGCGTGACGTCACTTCTATGTACATTTTATACGTAGTAATGAGGTTTTAGCCCCCACTCCTAAACTTTGATTCGCTTCATCTAAAGTATTATTTTATTGTACGACAAAATAAAAAAATACGTGTCTAATATTTTTTCATTACCTAACTTACGGACTAATTAGATTTTTAATTTTCATACCCTGTTATCATCCCAATTCTGGACTCCGTGCTACTGCTGAGAATTTATAAAACAACCAGTAATACTTTGCCTGACCCGGGAATCGAACCCGAGACTCCTTGCACTTGCGACCACTCTGCCAACGAGGCAGTCAATTTAATAATTCAGCTTTATTTCATTCATTTTCTTTATTTGATTAATTCTTATACACATGTCTATATCTGATTTAACAGGTTGGTGTAATAGACACTAGCATCAAATCAGAATCGGGCCGAGTATTGAACTGTGCTCTCAGTCACGGCGTGTACTCTCTGAGTTGGGGAGAAGATATGAACCTGTACGCCAGTGGCGGATGCAAACTGGTCATGTATAACGCCCAACGTTATAACGAAGGTATGTTGTAGTTAGGGTTGCCACCTTTTTCTTTGGTATTTAAAGTACATTGATGATTATAGGTAAGAAAAAAAAGTACACAGTACAAAAATAAAGTACAATTTATTCTTATTTAGCACAAAATTAAAAAAAAAAATTATTGCTTTTTGCAGTTTGTATTAAATTAGTACCTTTACTAAACAATTGCATTGAAATACTAAACAGACATCACATTACATCTTTACTAGAAATTGTCTAAGTGGCGCTGGCGAGTTATCGATTCAACATAAATCGATAAATATCGATATCGAATAAGTTTACCGAAAAATACTTACAACTTTAATAGAAATTAAGTTTGCAAAAATAAAGTATTTTCGTGTACTTTATTATTATTTTTATAAAGTATAGAGTACAATTACCTTAAATAACGTACAATACTTTATTATAAAATACGGGTGGCAACCCTAGTTGTAGTGAAAGAAGAGGACAGTGTTATTGTATTTATTTCTCTAAATGCATTTTCGTAATATAGCTTTAGTGACATATATTATGTTATTATGTTGTATGACTAAATTCGGTCTGGCCAGTCACATCAGGGCACACGACAGGAGATAGCCATTAAGGATCGCCGTTACCGTAATCGGGAAGGAGGACTATATAACTGTTTTACGAGGCAACATGTCTGACTAGATTCAAGCCACTTACCCAATTAACTACGCGACATTCGCTGTGTCGTCTGTCGCTCATTGCTGTCATGGTTATGAGGCCCCAGCGTGACTTGAAACTAGTTGAGGTACCTTGTCAAACAGTACCGAAATCGTAAAATATTATTAACTAGCGCCCACGGTCTTGCCCGTATATTCCTGTTTTATACGATGGGAACATTTAATCAGGATAAAATCCTACCACCTAAGTCAGCCCATACCCTTTACGGTTTACGGTTTCAGCGTGATTGACGAACAAACATCTAAACATCCAAACAAAGAAACTATAATATTAGTGCGATATTATTAACAATATTTTTTTTTGTATCCAACAGACCCCCAACTGCTGGACATAACAATAGAGGGTCAGAAGTGGGAAATATGTGCGGTGTCATGGTTCCCTCGCGGGCTCTTCGTTGGCTCAGCCAACGGCGGGGTCGCTCTACTCACTCCCAGCCACCCACACACACTCATCGTTGCCAATTTCGTCTTTAAGTAAGTATCTAAAATCCTTAGGTAGATCTGTAACAATATATTACGAGAGACATAGTACATCCCAGTTCCCATATAGTCCCAGTTTGGCTTGAAAGTAATTGAGCATCTTTGAATAAAACTTTAGAATTAGATCATCTGTGGACATATTCTTTGTTTTTTTTTACCGAACGTAAACAATTAATACTAATTTTATAGTGGTTTACTAATAAGTGAAAGACAATAGTCTTATTAACTATTTTGTTAGTTGTTAAAAGAAATAACCATATTTTTATTTCTTTTCTAGCAAAATGATACATGCAATCGAGTGGCACCCACAACAGACATCGAGTTCGACTGAGGAGTCTCCATACAAGAACTTCATTGCTGTCACCTCCTTGGATAAAGATTGTGGCATTGCTATTGTAGAATATGTCACCGCAGAAGGTTCTTTTCTTATTCTAGCAACTTATTCTTATGATTTAGAGTTTTACTTGTTTTTAAAGAGGCATTGCATACAAGATTTGTGTTATCCTCGAAAGTTATCGAAGACTATAGACAGTTTTCGAGTAATCCTCGAAAGACATCGAGTAAAGGTCGATCGCTTTCGAGATACGCTCGAAAGTGATCGGAAAGCGTTTGTACGTGCTCGGGTATACTTGATCGCATCGCAGTTTTTAATTTTTGTTCGTCGAGGCGGATTTAATTATGGAAGTTTGCTAGTCTCATTGGAGCATTGGAACTTTGATTTGACCATGTACGCCATTCTTTAAGTTGATCTTGTGAGTAATATGCCGGAATACTGAAACGTTACTCAATTTTAAGTCGTGCTCAAATATCGTGCCATCTCTGTCATTTTACAAAGAATTTGTAGAGATAGAACTATACTTAAGCACGACTTAAAATTGAGTAGCGTTTCAGTATTCCGACAATAGTTGACATCTAATAACTATTTCAGATGGGTCAAAAAAGTTGACCACATGGAAGATGTTGTATGGCCACACGAAGGCAGTGCTCCAAGCCACTTGGAACCCACATCGTGAGGGAATATTACTGTCCTCCTCACAGGACACTACTGTTAGGGTAAGTCACAAACACATCAACAGACTGATAATCCACTACTTGACTATAATAGGCTTTCTCTAGTTCAACTTTTTGCCTACTGCTATTTGTATGAGATACAAAAATACATACACAAACAAAGTACATTTGGAGACATACTGTATTACAGTATGTTACCTTATAAATGCATTAATTAATTATTATGACGTATTTTTTTATGAAATAAGTCGGTAAACCAGCAGACGGATCACCTGATGGTAAGCAATCGGCGTCGCCCATGGACACCTGAAACACCAGAGGCGTTACAAGTGCCCTACTGGTATTGAGAGCTAGCTAATAGTTTTCATTTTCTATGTAGCTGTCTAGTGTAAGAAGTTATGTAACTACTCGTAGTATTAGCGAGACTAATTATAATTGAAAGTTATTCTACAGGTATGGGATGTATCAACGGGTATCTGTATATCAATATTCGCTGGCCACTCGACTGTGTCACTAGGATTATGTTGGATGTCTCAGCCACAGCTAGCTGACTACGTCATGACGGGCGGCGGCGAATTCTGTCTCAGGTTGTGGAACATCAACGAACATAAAACTGAGAATTTTGTTGGTAAGAAACATTAAAAGATTCATATTCATTGGATTTGTATGCTTAGTCGGAATGTTTAAAGGTTTATTTATTTTAGTATTTATGTAACACATACATCGACATATACTAATGGACTGGACATGCCGTACGCGTAATATCTGCAGTAATTTTTTGGTTTGAAAAGAGAGAGAGATGGCCTATGCTTTCGGTCTAGCGCTATCTCTTTCTCGCTCATAACGTCTTAACTACTATTTTGAGAGAGATAAAGATAGACCGAAACTTCGTTTCCTCTCTTTCTTTCGTAGTGCCACAATTCTCATCTCTAAGGCATGTCCATTGTCGCGGAGAACCTAACGGGTAACCGGGGCTCCGGCTCGACGTGCAGGAGAAGGAACGGGGTGGTTTTTAGTCAGTAAGAGTCTGACACTACCTCCCGCCTCACCCAGGCAGGCATTCGATGATTTTCCCCCCTTAAAAAAAGGCATGTCCATTAGTATATGTCGATGCACACATACAACACAAAGAACAACACATACATAAGATTGAAGTACAAAGGTACTTATTCCTATTGGAATTTCTTCCTGTGGACCTGTGGCAAGAAAAATAATAATGATATAAGACACAGTGTGTAGTAACAAATAGAAAATTGACATAGAAAACAAACTTAAAGATGTTCTCAGTTGACATTTTGCGATACTGTTTTTTTCTAATGTTTCATAACTTACTGAACTGAAAACTGTGCAAATACATTCCATTTAATTTCTTAAGAAACCATGAATAGATTTAAACAGTCAAATGTTTTCGCTAATACCCAATTTAACATAAAAAACCTTCCACAGCCGAATCCGGCACCGTAGCCAAGAAGCGGCAACGCAGAAAAGGGAAAAAAGGAGTCGTGGACGTAAGCTCAGGAGAGGAAGAACATGTAGCACTACAAACTGCACTTACCAGCAAATATAGCAAGCCGACGAAGAGATTCCTTCTACCAATCATGTTTAAACAGTTCAATGACCCCATCAGACGGTTAGACGCACCTAGAAAAATGTTGCAAATGTGGCTAGAGAAGAATGAATATAAACTTAAAGAAAATCGTGAAAGTGGTTCAACCAGCCCCACTGAACAAAATGTAATTCCATCTCCATCTAAAGAAAATGGTTCCATAATAGATGAGAAGGGAGATTATGTTCTGGCACAATCAGGAGACAAAGCTGAGGGAGCTGCAGGGAATAATGAGGTTGACGAAGGAGTGCTATATGAACCCATAGAGTCCAGTTTAGATTTCATCAAAATCTTCGGTACTGTTAAGGAGGTTAATGAGTTTTTGGATATGGAAAGTGAGTATAATTGGTCTTTATTGAAGAAATAAATGCTTTGACGTTGATTTTGATTGTAGAATTGACATTGAATTAACGTAAAAGTGGGATTGTAATTAGAAGATGTTCCATAAAGAGATAAGCAAAAGTATGGCCCTTTTTCTCTAGTTAAATTCTGAATCACATTTACTGACCATTAGTTGGTTAGTGTTATTCTATACCAAAATCTACCCCTTTTAGAAATTTCATTTCGAGCCCTTCAGTCATTTAGTAATCATTCAGATCTTTTTGTAAATTACTTTGTTTTTTCCATTGCCAGGTGTGTGTTACCCAGGCCAGATGTTGTCGAAAATGGTCATTTGAATGTTATAGATAATTAGTTGTCCGGCTTCTGTAATTGTTGCGCACATTTTTAAATTTGTTGCGCTTATAGTTTTTAAATTATTTCACAAAAATATTTCCTGCTGGGGAAACGTTACCCCAACCAGACCTTTTTCTTTCTAATGGGAATATTTAAATAATTACTAGCTATAAAATTATTTGTCTAGATGAAGTAAATGTTGTGCCTTATTTTGTATTTATTTTTTCATCGGTTGCGAAGTTATTCGAGATTTTCCTGGGGTAACGTTTTTGGTTGTGCTAGATCTTTGAAATGGTTAAGCGGATTCTTATCATATCGTAATTAGATGATGTTCCACAAAGAGATAAGCAAAAGTATGGCCCTTTTTCTCTAGTTAAATTCTGAATCACATTTACTGACCATTACTTGGTTAGTGTTATTCTATACCAAAATCTTTTAGATCTTTTATCCTTTTAGAAATTTCATCTCGAGCCCTTCAGCCATTTAGACGTGATAGAGTAACAAACATACATACAAAAGCTCGCATACTTTCACATTTATATTAAACTAGCTTTTATCCGCGGCTTCGCTCGCGTCACAAAAGAATAAAAAGTAGCCTATGTGACATATACCAATACATACAGCGCCATCTATACCAATATTTTTGTTTTCCCTCGGGAATATCAAATTGTTTCGGGATAAAAAGTACCCTATTATTTATTAAAGTACCTATTAAAAATTCAATGCAATCGGTTTAGTAGTTACGGCGTGAAGTCGGAACAAACAAACAAACAAACTAACTCACTTTCCGATTTATAATATTAGTAAGGATTTCTGTTATGTCTAGATCTTTCTGTAATTTACTTTGTTTTTTTCCAGAGCACGGACACTTGGAAGAAGTGTATCACCCGGAGGCATATATAATGTTGTCGATAATTCGCGGCCACATCGACTCTATGATACAGTTCGCCAGCGAGCGCGATATGCTCTGTCCCTTCCTACTTAGTATGGCGCCCTGCGTGTCTTTCAAGTAAGTTAAACAGGTTTTAATGAATAGAATAAAAAATCCATTTTAAATCCATTTTCCAATTGTCAATAGTCCAGTCTGGCAGAAATAAAACTTAGACACATTTTCTAAGAATCATATATTAATTCTGTCTTTAACTTACTGACTTATTAATTCTTAATCGACTATTAATTTCGACTTATAACTTATTAATTCTTAATCGACTATTAATTTCGACTTATAACTTATTAATTCTGTCTTTAACTTACTGAGAAAACATTAACTTTCATCGATTCCCTATAATTTGGTTGAGCTGGGCGGTGCTGGTGTACGTGTCGTGTTCTTGAACGGGTGCCGTCAACTGGGATTGGTCAGCTCCAAACTGTATTATGATTTTATTGTCCTTAGGGTTATTTTGTTTTTCGATCCTTTGACCGGATTTTGGTGTTTGATTGTTCCAATTTTCGAAAAATAAAAACCTTGACTCCCACAAAAGTATATAACTAGAGAATTGTATTGTGAACCTGATTGAAAAAGAATAACCTATGGAGTTTCTTGCTCGTTCTTTTCCATAGGAATCTATACCTTGGAATAAGCTTCAATTTTAACTTTATGGTGTAAACGATTTTGACTTGATTTTTCCAGGTATTGGAAAGACGCAACCCAGTTATATTTGAAGCAAATAGATCGTGTGGTGGCTAGAGGAGAGGAGGAGAGGATTTTTGGTAAGATCCGTATTTGTAATGTAATTACATTATAATAATAACGGAAGCTAGTTTGGAAAAAGTACTCGTATTTATGCTATAAGTATTGTGATATTCGTTTCTGGCAGCTGCTTCATCCATATTGCTGGGAAAACAAGGAAGTTATTCGTTAATCCATATTGTAATCTACACCCAAAGACATTGCGTCTTTGTGTACACCTATGCCAAGTTCCAGATTTTCACTTTAAATTTTGTATTTTTATAGAGAATAAGCACTACGGAGGTTCGAAGTTCCGTAAAGCGGCCTTACAGCTGAGCATGCATGACGTCATGGGTGCTGTCAAAACTCTATGCGAAGGAAAACTATACAAGGAGGCGTATATACTATGCCGGCTAAGGTGAATATGAACTGTTAGGAAATGTTTGAGTATCATGCATTCATGAGTATTGATTTCTTTTTAAAGTCGATTGCACGGTTAGTGCGGTGGCTGGGCAACTGGTTGCCGCATAACGCGGAGTCAATTCCCACACGGAACAATTCTTTGTGTGATTCACAGATTGTTGTTTCTGGTCTGGGTGTCATGTGTATGTGAACTTGTATGTTTGTCAACGCACCCACGACACAGGAGAAAATCCTAGTGTAGGGCAACTATTACTTAAAAAAAAGTCTGTTAAAATTGTGTTTTTAATTGGATGCTTATTATAATGTAAACTGCATTCAGATGTACATACCTAAAGTAGAAAAAAGATACAAGAAAAATAAAAATGTGTTCCAAAAAGTAAAATACACCAAATATCGGTTGGCTTGGATACTTGCTTAACACCACTTTTATGATCCAATTAGCGTCAATATCTATTGAAGATTTATAAGAGACGATTTACATAATGAAAGATTTGTAAACAAAATATTTATTATGATTTTGCAGATATATGGATAGCATAGCTGACGAAATAGTAGCCGAATGGGCTGAAGAACTCTCGAAAAGCGGACAAATGAATATGTCGGCATTTCTGTAAGTTTTCATAATTATTATTATTAAATCTTTCGTATTATTAACAGTTTTGATTAAAAATCGCGGGTTAATCACGTGAAAATACTGAGAAAAGTTCTATTACTAATAGTTACTAGTTTTGTTAGTAGTTTTGAACTACAGAGGGTTCCTACTCATGGAAGATTTTTAGTTCATTTAGTGTGTCACGATAGTTATAAATACATTAACAGTTAAACCTAACCTAATGAAGATGATAAAATTACTATCGACCGACTCTGGTCATTTGTAATGTTAATGAGTAGTGTACAGGTCGATATTCCAATTAAATATTTTAATGGCTCAGCCAGGTGTGCGTTACTCAGGCCAGATGTTGTCGAAAATGGTCATTTGAATGTTATAGATAATTAGTTGTGCGGGTTCTGTAATTGTTGCGCACATTTTTAAATTTGTTGCGCTAAAGTTTTTTAATTATTTCACAAAGATATTTCCTGCTGGGGTAACGTTACCCCAGCCAGACCTTTTTCTTTCTTATGGGAATATTTAAATATTTACTAGCTATAAAATTAGTTGTCTAGATGAAGTAAATGTTGTGCCTTATTTTGTATTTGTTATTTCATCGGTTGCGAAGTTATTCGAGATTTTGCTGGGGTAACGTTTTTGGTTTTGCTAGATCTTTGAAATGGTTAAGCAGATTCTTATCATATCTTGCACATGGCTTCTTAGGAATTAGTTTAAATTGGGTAACGCACACCTCAGCCAGCTGTATATTATATTAGTAAAATTAGCACAATAGAATACATTGGGAAGTAAGCTAGATTTGCCAAGCAGTTCATTATGTTTTCGGAGTTCAATTAATTGTCCTCTACCCATCAGTTATGGTTCATTTCACATAAAAAGTTATCTAACCCGTGGGGGTTTGTTGAACTGTGGAGTTCAATAGTTTATCTTCCACTACTCGTCTGCTCTTTACCATAAAATGTTTTATTTCCCTTTTTCAGCTACATAGTCTTGGGCAATCTGTCTCAAGCAGCACAAGTGCTAGCAAAGTCTCAAAAGGTAGATTTCCTCAAATTGGCGGCAGAAATTGCGAAAATCGCTGGTAGAACTACGTTTGCTGACCACGTCACAAAGAAAGCTAATCAAACTGAAGCCCAAATTTCCGCAGACAAGACTGAAGAAATTTTGAAGGAACTACCTTCAAAGATTGATCTCCTTATGAAGGACGAGATTGCCAAAGCTTGTGATAAAATTAAAAGTGATATTTTAAACGGTGAAACCTCAAACTCTGTCACGTTAAATGGTAATAATAAAACCAAGGAATAGACGATAAGTAGTAATTTTGTGTTAACACAATGAGAATAGATTTGTTCTAAAATATTGTTTTAATGTTATGAAATAAGCCATGTTTTTATTTTGGTCCATCAATGTAAAACGTTGGTACAAATGATATCTTATCATTGGTCTTTTTTAAAATAATTGTGATTTGATTATAGATTTTAGTCGAATCTCGATATGTATTTTACGGCTCCGTCTGTCATAGGCCTTAGCTGGGCATAGGCCTTGTGTATTGGCATGTGTATCTTGTTTTCGTAACTGTTGGAAAAAGTATACAATATCGTTTTTATGTAATAAATACATTCTCACAACATCATACCTTTTATTTAAAAAGACAAACACCCACTTATTTATGTTTTACCCGCTGTAAGTCCAATTGACATCGTACACAAATCTAGTCGCCGTGTTATTGTCTTGCCGACTCGGGAATTGAACCTTGCTCAGCACTTACAAGTTGTTTTCAGGATAAAAAGGGTATATAATTTATTTGAACATAATCAAAATTAAGAAAAAGTCACTTAAGAACATAAAAAATAAACAAGAATAAGGAAAAAATAGAAAAACTAGCTCTTTCAATGGGCGGGCTTATGCACACTCTTCTAACGCAATGGACGGTTGTTTGGGACCATAGAGCAACACGGGCCACCGGCGGACCGGAGGGGAGTAGCCATACGCAGGCGTTCCCCTCTGTCAAAGTATAAGTCCAAATGGTCCTATGCGTACAATAAAACTAGTTGCAACTCAACTGCTCACCAGACTAAATCTAGTTGCGTTAGTGAATCGACGGCGTCGTAAAAATGCCGAATTGTTCTGTTTTTTGCTGCAAAAAGAGATCTGCCACGTCAAATTTACAAAAACATGGTGTTACCTTTCATATTAAGTAATTTTTAATCACATTATTGCTATTTACTTCTTATAAACTTAAAAAAACTACAATATTATCAATCGTCTTGTTTCGGATTTGTTTACCAACAAATCCGTGCGTACTCATACAAAACGCGGATCGGTCGAGCGACAGATCCGAGTTATTTTCCTAGAATTCGCTGTCGCCAAGCGATAGCGTTGTTGCCGGTTTGTTTGTAGATAGTTATCGATAAAAATGTAAAAGGTGAAGTCAAATGTGAGATTTTTTGGGATTAAGTTTTCTGATTTAAATAAAAAATACTGAGTGAGAACTTCAACTATATTTATTATTTTATTTATTTATTGCAGATTTCCTAAAGATCCAAATTTAAGAGATATATGTAAGACATTTTGTCATAACAGACCAACCTGGATTCCCACAAGAAATAGTGCCATTTACTCAAATCAAGATGTATTAGCAAGATTAATAATGCAAAAATATACTGATACAATAATTTCTAACTTATTGAAAAAAACAAACCCCCAAAAATGTATTCGTCATATCTAAATAAAATTAATCTATTTTAAAAACCAGTGATAGTTCCGTATCAGTATTTCATCGCTGGTTTTTAAATGGGATGAGTAATTTAATTTATTTAAAAAAATGAAAATTTTTATTTGTTATTATTATCTTGTCTGATTATTGTAGTAGTAGGTAGTTAGGGGTATAATATACCGGTTTTGCATAAAACAAAACCGATATTATGTGCCGAGAGGGAAAACATACAGCATTGCTTTGAAGAAGCAGTCGTATACTTTCAGCTCCATCTATGATCGACGTTAGTAAACACGTGGTTTCACCTAAATGTAACTAGATGGCGTTAGGTTGCACCAGCAAGACGCGCCGGAGCGTTAGACTTCGAATGTCATAGTCTTCACCAGGAAGAACTTCCGGCAATGCTGTATGTTTTCCCTCTCGGCACATAATATCGGTTTTGTTTTATGCAAAACCGGTATATTGATGTGCCTCCGGAAAACATACAGCATTGCTTTGAAGACGTGTTTGTTATCTGCTGGTGAAATGTATGTGCATGTAACACAACGCTATTTTGATTGATTATTCAGTAAATAAGTAAGACTTAGTACGAAAATAAGCTATTTATTCATTAATTTAACACTAGCCTACAATCCAATATAATATGAGACTTAATTATACCAACTATCAATAAATTAAATAAATAATAAATGATTTAAAGAAAAATTAACTCTGTAATCGTTAGATTAGGCTGGTTTAAAAGTACCAAAGAATGGATTACGATTATTTTTTGGAAGTGCTATCTCACGACAGTAATGATTAAAAAATGTATTAGAAGATTTCCAATTACCCCGTGACAAAATCTCATCTATTGGTTGATTATCTGACCACCCCAGGGAAGCCACAGCCGATCTACAGCTTCCTGGGGGTGCCTGAATCCCACTATCTCTCAACACTGATCGTATCCAGTTTCCTATGACAGTGCGGGACGCCGCTTTAACATTTTTGTTTACAGTAATAAACAGACAATTTAAGCCATCAACTTCCAACCGTCTTGTTTTATTTTTGTCGTTTAAAAGTCTAATCAAAGTGACCGGGCATATGTTTTTATCATGATGTTTAGAAAACTTCCATGCAGATTGACGATAATTATGTGTATCAGTTTTAGAACCAAAATCTGGTATTAAATACAATTCTTCACCATTATCAAAGAAATGATTTTTGAAATTTTAAGTAAAGTTAAATCATGGACTCTTCGTCCCGAAGCTAATAATAAAACAGTAGCCGTTTTGCGAGCTAAATCAAATAAATTGTCTTTAGGAGGGTTAATGAAAGCCAGTCCAATACTATTTGTGGATCCCATGTAGACGATGGTTTAGTAACTTTAGGTTTAGCTACTCCTATTGCTTTAAGGGTATGTTTTATAATGAAATTAGATAAAGGTTGTTGCTCTACGTGAGGTCCACAGAAGGTTAAAACTGCTGATTTATGTACAAGAATAGTGCTGTAGGATAAGTTTTCTTTTAAGAAGAGATACATTAAAAATTTTGCAACATCAGCTGATCGTGGAGATTTTGGGTCTACTTGTCGCGTAGAACACCATGAAAGCCATCTTTTAAGCGCTGGAATGTATGTGGACAGTGTAGAGGGTCTCCAGCTTTTCTTCAAAAGGTCTTTTTCTTGTAGCGACCATTCCTTTATGTGTGCACCCCACCCCCAATTTTCCAAACTTTCAGGGTTAATGTCTGAGCCTGTGGGGGAGGTTGTAATGTCGCGAAATCTATCATGTTCTCTGCTAGATTCTGAAGCACCAGTGGATGGTCCAAAGCTCTTGATTTCAGATCTTGAAGCCAGAACGCCCGGGGCCACTCTGGTGCCACAATCAGGTAAATCCCCGTGGCCTGGTTGAGATGGGCTAGGACTTTTGGTAGTAAGGTTGGTGGGGGGAACACCCAAGCCCGTCGATAACACCATGTTCTGCTGAAGGCATCTATATAACTTGCCGATTGATCTCTGCAGTCTATCGATACATAATTTTGCACTACAGCGGTTTCTCGTGACGCAAATAGGTCGATCTCCGGTCGACCCCACCTCCGAAAAACTTCCGCAGTTGCTCGGGGTAGAAGATGCCATTCTGCTGGACGTTTTCCGCGAGATAGTCTGTCTGCTATTATGTTGTACCTCCCTGGTACGTACTGTGCGGATAGGGTTATCTTGAACTTGTCGATTAGGTGTAAGAGCTCGAAGGTTAGGTTTAGTAAAGCTAACGATCTGGTCCCCCCTTCCTTCCGAATATAAGCAATCAAGGTCCTGTTGTCCGAAAGGACAAGTACGTGAGTTCTTTGCAACAACTTTGCATTTTCTTTGATTGCAGCCAAAACAGCGTACAGCTCTTTTTTGTTGCTGTGCCATTTTGTTTGTTGGGGCGACCATGCTCCTGATAATAACTTTCCGTCTATGTGGGCTCCCCATCCCAAATCCGAAGCGTCCGTCGCCAGGAAATGGGTAGCTGGCTCCTTGTGTATGGGCATACTGTGGCGTGTAGCTCCGCGCCACCACGTCATATTCTGGTATACCATTCGAGGAATGGGCTGTTTCTGGCGCGGTCGTTTCTTGTCGAAATGTCGCAGAAAAATCTGCATTTTTCGGCAATGTAGTCGACCTCGTGGTATTACGAAATTCGCAAAATTCAGTTGACCTAGTAGGCACTGTAACTCTCGAAGACTGATGTGGTCTCTGTTTAACAATCGACTGAGCGCATTGTTTAAGTTTTGAATTCTTTTTATTGGCAGTGACATGATATTCTCGGCGGTCTGCCACCGAATGCCCAGATATTCCAGATCCTGTGTTGGTGTCAAAATTGACTTTTGGTGATTGATCTGCCAGCCCAGTTGTTCCAAGTGCCTCACGGCTTCCGCAGCCTGATGACATAACTTGGATTGGTCCTGATGGACCAAAAGGAAGTCGTCTAGATAGACTAGAACCCGACATCCCTTTGCACGCAAGGTCTCCGCGACCCAGCATGTTACGGCCGAAAAAAGGTGAGGCGCTGAGGCCAGACCAAACGGTAGGCATGACATTTCGTACAAACGATCTTTGTAACTGATCCTTAAAAATGGACGGTGGGATTTTGCAACTGGTAGGTGAAAATACGCCTGAGAGATGTCTATTTTTGTCATCCAATCCCCAGGTTGAAGGAAATCTGGTATTGAAGCATGAGAAATCAGACGAAAGTGTTTTGTCTTTACAAATTCGTTCAGTTCTCGAAGATCGAATATAGGGCGCATCGTTCCGTCGCTTTTCTTCCGAAGAAAAAGCTTGGAAACGAAACTCGGTGTTTTTGTGGTAACCGGTATCAGTACACCTTGATTTACAAGGTCTTTTATAATCAAAGACATTTCCGGTGATGGTTTGGTTGCATATTGCGTTAAAATTTTTTCCGTAGGCATTAACAAGGGAGGTTTCTTGTAAAAGGGTATTCGAAACCCCGAGATTGCAGAAATGATGAAATCGTTGGCACCCAATGCTTGCCAATGATTCCTGAACATTTTTAGGCAACCCCCCCTGAATTGTGGTACTGCATAGTCATTTTTTGTTATCTTTGTTTCGAAAGGAAGAATTTTTAGATTTGTAGCCGTCACTTTTTCCTTTGTATGGTTTTGTTTGCTTTTTGAGGGTATCACGAAAATTTTTGTTCTGTGGTTGTGATTTGTATTTTGATGTAGAAGGGGTTGCGTCTTTATTATATTTATTTTTAATTTGGTCCCTAACTATAGATTTAGTGGCTGTTGGTGGTGAAATCCAAAAATGGGGCCCTCCGAGGGATTGGATCAAAGACATAAGCTTCGGTTTGTCAAATAAAAATTCTTCACTAGGGGGTATGTTACTAAGTGCAGCTTGAATACTTTTATCGGAAATTTCGTTAATTAGTCTTT